ATGTGATTTACCTCTGAAATATAAAGAACCCTAACTGGTACTTAGCTTCTACTGATGATTGCTGTCGGGGTTTATAAATAGGCTAAGAGTCTATTGGTTTCTTAACTCAAGAGTACTTTCATCTGGCTAGCAGAGTAGAATTTGGGGTACCTTTTAAAAATTACATGAATTCAGTTGCTCCAAATGCCTATATGTATAGCCTTTCCCCCGTAAATTCTAAACTAGTTGTATTTTCAGGGAAATGTAATTCTTATATGTCTAATTCATGGAGACAGTGTCCTGTAGCAGCAGTGAAGGCCAAGAAAGTTTAAAAATCTAGCCTTTACTCTGCCATGTCTTGTTCTTAAATATGAAACGTGTTTTTCCAAAATTAAGTGAACTTGAACTTCAAAAGGGCCAAGTTCGGTATGAACCATGAAATTTGATGGAGTTTCTAAACATTGCAAAACATATTCTTTCAACTCTGGCCTCAGTTCCTGGTATCACATGACTGTCTGTGTCTTGCCAGCGGAGACCAGCACTGCTGGCTCAGGCAGTGTCCAGCATCCTGCAAATGTGAGTGAGGTGATGGACGTGGTACAGTGTGGTTTGTAGAAATTTCCTTTTCTTTTTTAATAACGATCAAATTTAACTGTTCTTTGTTTACTGTAGAAAGGCAAAAGACCCTTTATTCATGGATATCTTGGCAACAAATGTAGATGGCGTACGTATTAGTTAGAGTAATGTTATCTGCTAGGACAGTGAGACCCCACATTATAGTAGTTTAATGCAGGAACGCTTACCAATCCAGTGTGGTTATTTCTGACTAGTAGGTAGAACTAGTCACCTCCTTTCTTTCCTCTTGTGATTGTCAATACTTGGGGCTTTGGAGTCCTCTAATTCAGCCAACAGACAGGGTAGAGAATGCACCTCTGCTTCTTCATTGTCTTGGTCTGGACACGTGATCATTTCTGTTCACGTTCAATTGGAAATTACTGGTCGCATGGCTCCACCTAGGTGCAAGGAAGAAGGGAGGGTAGAAAATCCAATCCTTGACAGTCAATCACTTCCTGTGACTATGGAAGGGAGGGCATGAATTATAGTGGCAGTTATATGTCTCCACCATGTGGATCATTGGCATGAGTATAGCATCGCCACGCTATAATGTACACAAATCCAGTTCAAGAATTCTAGATGACTTGGTGACATGGGGAAATATTACAGGATACTAGAGGAATTCATTTATTATTTCAGCTTGGTCCTTGTCATAGTTTGAGTTCCCCAAGAAGCAGATCCTGAAACAACGATTGGAGCACAAGTAGTTTATTTGTAAAGGGATCCCAGAAAAGACTGTGTGGGGAAGTGAAATGGGGAAGGGAAGGCAACCCAATAAAAGCTTCGTTACCAAGCAGGTTACCACTTTGGGGGGACGCTAAGATCCAGGGCCACACAGACACCTCAGTTATGCAACTCAAAAGGTGGGGGGAGCGGAGGTATTTATACACTGACGTCATCAATTTTTGTTTGCGGGCTGCTCCCAGGGGACATTAATGCTCAAAGCACTTCGGGCATGTAGAATAGGCTCCAATGGCCAGAGAAAGACCAAGGGCAACGACTGGCATATGCTGCCTGTTGGAAGCCAGGCAAGCCTGTACTAATACGGTAACATCGGAGGGGATACATATACAGGCCAGGTACTGCCAGCTTGTGCTATAGAAGTGCAGATCAGGCTACCTGAATCCAGCTGACTGATTCATCAGCGCGCTGTCTTTGGTATTGTTGTTTCTGTTGTACAGTGTGCCTGACGAGGAGGTGAAGACAACCACCTCGAACACTCAGGCAGAGGGTGACGACGAGGCCGCGTTCCTTGAGCGCCTGGCTCGGCGGGAGGAAAGACGCCAAAAACGCCTGCAGGAAGCACTGGAGAGGCAGAAGGAGTTCGACCCCACAATCACAGATGAAAGTTTGTCGTCGCCAAGCGGAAGAATGCACAACAACACAACCGACGATGACACCGCAGAGAAGGAAGAAGCAAGCAAAAGTCACCGAGAAAGATACACGGTAGAGGAAACGGAAATAGTCACCAAGTCCTACCAGAAGAATGATTGGAGGGATGCCGAAGGAAAGAAGGAAGACAAAGCGAAGGAGGAAGAGGAAGAAGAAAAGCCAAAGAAAGGGAGCATCAAGGAAAATCAGGTAGAGGCGATGGTAGAAGGAGCAGCACCAGAAACCCAAGAGGAAGCAGAGGGGGTATCATTGAAAAATGGGCAAATCAGTGCAGATGAGCCCAAAATAGAGGAGGAGAGGGAACAAGGTTCAGATGAGATTAGCGGTAATGAAAAGATGGAGGAGGAAGAAAGGGAGAGGGCTGAGGCCGAGAGAGAGAGGTTGGAAGCAGAAGAAAGAGAGAGAATGAAAGCTGAGCAGGACCAAAAGATAGCAGAGGAGAAAGCAAGGATTGAGGCTGAAGAAAAAGCAGCAGAGAGAGAGAGAGAAAGAAGGGAGGCAGAGGAGAGGGACAGGGTGAAGGAGGAAGAGAGAAAAGCAGCCAAGGAGAGGCAGAGGGCAAAGGCAGAGGTGGAAGAAAAAGCCAAGCTAGAAGAGCAAAAACTGAAAAAGGAGCTAGAGGAGAAACGAAATGAAACGCAAGATAGAAAGATAAAAGGGGAAAAGGTAGAAGAGAAGCTAGAAGGGAAATGGGTCAATGAAAAGAAAGGCCAAGAAGATAAACGTCAGACAGCGGTCCAAAACAAACAGGTACAGTAAACATTTTGCACCAAATGTGTGATGCCTGTGACTTGAGAAATGTAATGCACATCAAATTTGGGACTGAGGCCACATTCCTCCCACCCCACGTGCTTGATCGTTTGGCAAGCTGTTCATTTTTCTCAGGCTGTCGCAATACGCAAACCAGAAGCAATCGATGGATGGCTTACTATTCAATCCACCAAATTTACTGGGACAACCAGAGACACATTAGTTGCTCTCTGGGCTTGCTTGTTGTGAACACCAGAAAAAATGAATTAACCCAAAGACAGTAAACGGGGTGGTGCTGTGTTGACTTGGGACTCTGCACCTGCATCTCAACTCATTCCTTTTAATCCATTCCCTCTATCCATAGGTCTACATGAGGCAAGAGGACCTTAACTCCTCACTTTACCCATGGGTTTGGCATTTAATAAAAAAATTTATATAAAGGTTGGGGTGAGCTACTGACAAAAAAAAGAGTCATGGTCAGAAATATCATCTTAAGCAGGGAACAGTAACCCCCTGGAAATCAACTGGTAATGAAGGAGGGAAAGAAGCCAGCTTGGACGTTTTGTTAAAAATGTCAAAGCCATGATATGCCATCATGTAGACCTAAGCTTAATGTGGACTTGCACAAAGCCATTCACCTGGGGTGTCATCCGTTTATAATTGACTGGTCATGAGGAGCGTACATTTTGCTTCTTTTACCATCTGGATGACACAAAGAAATTCATGTAGCTTGAGAAAGGGTGGAAATGGGAGAGGGGGGTATTTGTGAGCTATGGAAGATTTTCTTCTGTCTGCAAGACTGCATTAAAAGCACTGCACTTCCCTTCCATCCATTTGCATGTTCACCTTCCAGAAAGAACTCTCTCTCAATAAGTCTGCATTGCACTAAAGCTGTCTCTCACTCCTGCTTTTTACGAGGGGCTCATGAACACAGCTACCGTTGAGATGATCAGGAATAAAGTGTGTTTACACACGAGATTTATAAACACGCACAAGAAGCACCGGGTCACGCTAGATTTCATTGAGCACAATGGCAGGCGCATGGGAGAACATGTTGATGGGACAGAAATATCCCAGGCTGCTGTTTACCACCACTGACTGGCACAGGGGGACATGTGAGCACGGAGACAGCAAAAGAGAAGTCAGCCCGCCACATGCCAAGTGACTGAGCACCCTCTCACTCTAGAAAGAGTTAGAAAGGGCTTCTTTTAAATGAGTGATCTTACCATTCTTGAAAATAAAAAGGAAGAAGAAAAGGGGGCTCAAGTGCAGCCTAAAAGAGGAAAGTCCCAAGAAGACAAGCCTACCTTCAAAACAGAAGAGGTAAATATTACTGAGAAACAACCTCATCATCATAAAGCAACAGCAAGCAGTAACCCATGACATTTCAGATCCGATGATCTCAAAATTGCCACCTCTAACCCAGTGTTTTTCAAGCCGTGACGCGTGATTCATTGAATGGTGACATCAACTTAGCGCATCTCAAAATCAATTAAGTGTGTCAATTGGAATTTTACAAAATCAAATAGAAACGATTAGAGGCATTGCAAGCAGTAAGTATTGCATTGTGATATAAATTGTCTTTCTTCATTTGGGTCACAGTCAAAAAGCTTGAAAAGCACCCCCTGATCAATCTTCCCTGCTTTCTACTCTCCTGAGTGCTATATTTTTTTTTCCCTTGAGCCATCCTGCTGCTATTTCTATCATGAAATATTTCCAACTGGCCTTGATTAATAAATCGATTTAACTCCTCAAAGGAAAAACACCTCCCCGCCTCCCCGCCCCCATCTCAGTAGAAAATGGGATGAACTGAAGATGATACTTGGTTTTCAAAAGAAAAGTTTTGAAAACCCTTTGGCAAAATGTTCTGCATTGCATTTCTGAGGCACACACAGGACCTGGTGCCAGGGTGTTTGACTGTAGGTAAGTGAACGGATAAGCAGACCAGGAGCTGGTGCAGAAAGAGTGTCACAATCTGTCATAATCAAAATGCTGCATCGGAGAGCCAGAAATTGTTTTAATTTTTGTGCTTGTTATGTTAGCCCCAGGTAGTCCTAAATGTTGTGATAATATCTAATAAGCTCAAAGTACTTGAACATGGTAAAACTAAATTATGAAAGTAAGAAGACCTGAATTACTTTACCCATTGGACTGATGTGTAGCTATTGAGCGCCAACTTAAACGGGCTGTTGCCCCATTTCTCTGCCCATTGAGACATATGTGAAGAAACAGAAAAATCCATAATTAGAAAACAGATCATCAGATTAAATAGGAAGATGGTTTTTTCTTAAATGTTTTTTTTTCATAAGATTCATGTAAAAAGGTCAGAACCCCTAGTTCATGTTATATTTCTTTTGTTTAAGATACATGTTTCTAATAGAACTTGTGGTGGCTTGGGAGTAAAGACTGAATGTAAACTCTGCCCCTGTAAAGGAAGGAGAAAGCGTAAATGCTGAAAACTGGAAAACTGAATTTTGCTCAAATGAGGCAGCGCAGAAAATGGTTTAACATGTTGGGAAATATTGTTCCCATGTTGTAACAGAAGACCACTACAAATTCATCTACCAAAAAGAAAAAAAAAAAAAAGCAAGTTACATTGGAACTAAACTCAGAAATGTCCCACATGGGTTCTTCCCTAAGGCTAATATTTCGTGGTGAATATTTTTAACTACAGAAAAAAAGAGGGCATGAAATCCTAACTCAGTGATTAAGTTCATGTCGGGGGAAGGGAGCTGAAAAGCACTGTTTGGAGTCAATATTGAAAACTTAATTCAGTTCACTAAGATGTGGCTTATTTTCATCACCAAAGCATTCTTTGTCTATGTACTGTGTCCATGGGCTGGAAAGGGCTTGCCAGCAGTTGTCCAAATCATCCTTTTTCCTTTTTTCAGATAAGGCCCCAGTTCAACCACGGCCATGGAGTAATAATCTCAGGCCTGCCTCTTTCCCAGTTTGCCTGACAGCACATTCCACTGTCCCAAAACTTTTGGCCTCTTTTTTACATGCCAGATCAGCTCCACCATGCAGGCTTAAAAAAAAAAAAAAAAATCCGTCATTCCTGTTTTAACATTGCGTACGTAAATTACTAGCTGAAAGACTAGGTTTTCCCTTCTCCAGCTAGTTGTGTGGTTGCTTTATGTTGATAACTTTAAATCATATTTTACATGATTTAGCCATTTTAAACACCCTCCTCCTTTTTTCCCCCCTTTTTCTTAAAAAAAAAAAAAAGCCTTTTCTTTCAAGGAGCCATGCAAGATCAGTCAACCACAAGCAAACACAACATCACATAAGCCTTCTTAGAGAAAACATTTCCAGAAGTCACTCCAATACCTTACAACACACCTTTCTCCCACTGCAGTTTAACTCTGTTTGTGGCAATGGATTAAAGGTGATCCCCTACCTTGAAACTTAATGTAGCTTGTTTTTTCTTTTCTCCAACTATCAAATGCCTCTTTTTAGTTTGTCACCCTCTGCCTCCAACAGAAAAACAGTTTCCAGCAGAGTTGTTGCTATAACACTGACACTGACATTCATGCATCGAGTCCAAAGCCGCCCAACGCTGGTGTGCGTGCGCGTCACCTGGAATCTTAGGAAACGTAGGATCTGACTCAGCGCCTCTGAGGTGGAGTCTGAGCTTCCTGGTTAGGTCCATGTTATCCAGAGACCAAACTTCCAGCAGCAAGGACATTCATGTGATAGACATTGGACCTAGAAAAGAAATTGAGGCTTCTGAGTCTAACAGAAGTGCGTTAAACCTAATCTGACATACGGTCACTTGCACCAGTTCTTGGCACTATTCTGGAATCAAATAACGCAAAGCAATACACTACAGAGATTGACCTCTCAGTCCTTAAAGACCTGCCCACTTGGCCTTTTGAACTGGCATGAGGGCATGTCACTGGAATTCCCACTTTCCCCCCCAGACTCCCATGTGCTATCCCATCGGACACCCCAAATACCAAGTTTTAGCCAAACGATCATACACGGCCAGAGCCTTTCATATGAACGTTATCTGTGTATAAAGCATCTTAACTCAGGATACTTGACTGCCTATTAATCCATCAGCACAGATTTTCTTTCTGATAACATTTTGACCTAGAAAATCTAATGCTGTTCCCGAAGGACTCAGAATCTCGTGAGCTTGGGCTAAATTTGCTATAAAATCTAATCCACTGTGCCCCAGAGGCATTATGGAATTACTTTATTTATTTATTCATTTCCCAAAAAGAGAAAGTAATTTGCAAGCTCAAATTATCGTTATTTCATTGGGAATTTTTCCAAGGAAGTCTTCCAAAGAGAATATAAGCACACCAGCCACCATAACCTTTGCCAATAAAGACAGAGCTTGAAGAAAGGGGGGGATTTTTCTTTTGTTAGACATATGCAGTTTTACAAATCTTTTTTATGCGTGTTTTTGGTCTGTAAATCAGATAATGCATTTGGGGAGAATGGAAATATCTCTGACTCCAAAATAGGAGAAATTAATTTGAAGGAATGTCGTCTTTGCCTGCTATTCCATAATCCGTGAAATTTGACTCAGAATTTCTTTCATAGATTTTCTGAAATAGGTCCCCCTCACCTCCAAATTTGTATCTTCAGATGCTTCTTAACCAGGATATAAAATCCAGTCTGTGGTTTCCGGGGCTATATCCAACAACGGTAGGCCAAGATGAGAATAGACTCCCTACTCATGCATTAATCCTGATTTATGATTGGGCAAGGACAGCCACCAAGGAGCTGCAATCAAACTGCAGGACAGGCCAGGAACTTCCTTCTCTTCTCTGTAGCCCCTCATGACAAATCAGAAGCCAAGAGGGACATGAAAGGATGAAGGATTAGGAACGGAATCCCCTATTCCAACCTCCTCTTTTTATGTACATGGAGCTAACATCCCAGAGAAGTTAGGTGACTTGATCAAAGTAACGCAGCTAGTTTGTTGCCAGCACTGGAACCCAAACTCAGGTTCCCTAACTTCCAGACAAAGCTCTCAGAGAGAATGGCAAAACAACAGCGCCCCTCGCCAGCATGTCCAAGGGATATCCTAAACATATACCGCTCGGAGAAAGATTCAAGTTTTTACTAATTAGAGCAACATGGTAGTGAATAGGCTATCTGTAGTAATTTAGTCAAAGGATACCCAAAGAAGGTAATCGGGGAAAGGACTATTGAGAGCTCATCAGTAAAGAGCAAGTGAAATGTGCGCGGTAGGAGGAAATGTTCAGAGTAGCTGAAGAGTAGCTGGAAAGGGGTGAGTGATCAGGTAAGGGCAGACCATCTGGGCAGCACCTAAAGCCCTAAGTTCTTATGCCCCACCCTTCCTCTGTAGGTTTCTTTAGAACATTGGTGCTTTTTCTGTCTTAAAAAGAGCGATAATGAACCTCTTCTGTTTTACACTCATCTTTTAAGAATGGGTGAGATGATAAAGATAAAGTAAGTTGAATACCTTTACCCCCAGAAAAGCCGTGCAAATTCAGTTTACCTTGGAACTAGACTCTTATTTACCATGAGGAACTTGTAACACAAAACCCACAAAATATTAAAGCTAACACCTGCTCTTCATGTGTCACCTTCTTCTTTCTCCCACAACAATCAAAACCACTTCTGAAGACTAAATTATAACGTGCAATGGAAGTCAAGGTAAACCCTGGAATTTTTCCTATTCCATTCTAATTTAGTGGTTTGGATGACTACAAATGTGGTCCCTCAGATCTCCGAGTCATCCCTCAAGGTAGGGTTATCATGGCTTCTGTCCTCGAGACCCTAGTTTCTTATTTGATTAAAATACTAGGGTGCCCCTCCTCTGACATCAGCTAAAATCGGCTTGGCAGATCTGGCTAACTTGGTACATTTCCTCTTTCCCCTTCAACACATTTGTGTCCTCCATCCAAGAAGAAAACTGTCCCAGCAACCTGGGCATTTTCCCCATCAAGGCCACGCTAATAATCACTGTGGCCACTGGGAACTGCAAACAACCACTCAAGTGGAGTTCCAAGAACATAATAGTTTCCAAATGGTAACACCTCCACTGCTTTCGAAAATAAAGTCCCAGTGAAATCTGGGATGATCCTCACTTCCTAAAATTGTGGTCCAGGTGTTTGTTGAGAGGCTGGAGAACCATAGCTCGTGCTCCTAAGAATTTCCTGTACCACATCGTTCCCTGGTGGTTTGTTTTACTTCAGAGTTTTCTGGCTTCCTAACAATTTGGGGGTCTTATTTGGTGATACCAACCAAAACCTAATAAGATTTTCATTGTTATGTATCTTCCTGATGGGTGCTGTTGGTTAGATCACAGATGAGAAGATGAAAAAGGACAGAGAGCCCAGAGAAGAAGTCAAGAGCTTCTTGGATGGAAAGAAGGGACTCACAGAAGTGAAGTCGCAGAATGGAGAGTTTATGACCCACAAACTTAAGCACACCGAGAATACATTCAGGTAAGCGGTAGTGACTACCTGACTGTGCTCACATGTAACACAAAAATAAACAAACAAAAACATCTTCCTACCTTGTGCCTCCAGATAGAAATGTGCTACCGGGTAACATACTTTTGTTGTGAGGTCATTGGCCATTGTCTTAGAGACACTCAGTCAGCAGGTCAGGCTGTCGGTCACTAACAGAAGACCAGCACTCATTGCTCAGATGAGGTTTCATCTGCTTTCCCCATTATTGAGCATGGCAGGCCATGCTTGGCATCCAAGTTTCTGTTCCCTGACCTAATATGCTCGTGTAAGATCTGTGTATTACAAAACACTGTGACTGGGGTGAATAGCATCGATTCATTCTCTGTGTGGTCCACGCAACTTCATTCTTATGTACCCTTCTCAGTACCATTTCAGGAATGTATTTCCTAGAGGTTATAAATACATGTTGCATAAAACTAGTGTCCTGTGGCCAATACTTGGGAAATATTAGGTTAAACTAGGTTAATCAGATCTCTACCACAGGAGTCTGAGAGCTCTTATGTTCATTTGTCTTGGGTATCACTGGGAGGGAGGAAGAGAGCATTGAGCTCCATGTATACCTTTTGGGACGCCTTCTTGCATGGCTTCAGCTTCTCCTGCTCACCCCACCCTACCGCCATCCCGTTGAAAATCTGGGCCATTGACTTTAAGACAGGCAGACAAGTATATGCAGGCAAATCCCCACTTCCAGATACAATACATTGAACTCTGGGAGCTCCCCACCAACTTTGTAGAAGGACTCGAGTTGCAGAACCCTGCCATGGACACCTGCCTACACGATTCTCTGAGCCCCATTCCTACACACGCACTTTATTCAACTGCTGGTGCCAGATTTCAGCTTCTGTTATGTCACTGGCTACTGTGCCAAGTGTTCTGGGAAAGAGCTGGGTCCTTGCAACGTGGATTCTCATGCACTATAAACCCTGTTTTTCTGACCACTTCAAATAACAAAGTCCCCAAAGCAGGTATGATGGAGAACGTGGACATGCGCCTCACGACAAAGCCTTTGCAGCATTCAGAAGCCAGCAGAGCTCCTAGGGAGGGACATGTCCTGCCCCCCTGAAAGGCTGAAATGGGTAAATGTAATTGCCCCTCAAACAATTTTTCAATACAAAAATCTGAGCAGAAACCTGGTCACATCTATCCAATAGAAAGCCTACATTGGCAAGAAAGTGGATGTGAAAAATTAGTAAGAGTTTATCAGTAATTCACAGAAAATCAGAAAGCACGTTTTTGATTCAGGCAGGTACGCTGAGCCCAAAGCTTGCTGAAGTCCCAGGAGGTTAATGTTTTAAAGCCCTAGAACAGCGCCGGGTTCATGAACAGTATTCAACGAACATTACCTAACAGTATTATTGTTTGATTGTTTGATAGTTTAAAATATGTGTTGTGGGCATGAGTACATTTTTTTTAAGAGAAATAATGCTTTAAAAATCTGTCAGTAGAAAGTGTGGTTAACAATTAGCAAACTTGCCCACCAGCTTCAGTCAAAGTTCAAATTAATAAGTAACATGCCCATTGTGTGGAAATTTAGAGGGCTGAGTAATTCCAAGAGAAAAGTCACAAGGGAATAGCAACAGATTGAGCACTGGGAACCCTTAATGTGACTCTTACTTTAATGTTTCCATCTTTGGGCAGCAAAAAAGTGACAGAAACAGGCTGCCACCTTATTATTAGTTTTTGTTTAGCTGCCAACATATGTTAGGTTTAGTTTCAATTAGAAGTTGATGCCAGTAGAAGTAGCGATGCCTGGTTTTACTCCACAGAGTTCTAAAGCGAGGAGCTGGGAAGGAAGTAAGAGCCTCTATGTAGATTAGCTAGCCAAGCTGAAAACAAGATGTGTTGTTAATGGTGAAAAGCCTGATATCCGCCTTGACTTCCTCAAGAAGCCAAGGATAGCAGAGAGAACCTTCTAGAAGAAATGTTCATATTAGTGGTACCCTAATGCTGAGGGCATGCCGGCACATCTGAGCAGAGGTGATATGGACAAAACTCTTGTTGCTGTTTTGAGCATAGCTCCTTTTGTTTGATTTTATTACTGCCCCCTTTGATATTTCTATTTTCTTATAACCAGGTCGTGTTCTCTGAAACATGACATAAAAACCTCAATCCAAGGAGTAAGTTTACAGTGATAGATTATACCAAGGTCTTTATAGAAAGTACAAAGCAAGGATTTGTTTTGCTTTCTGTTTACTTTTTTAATGTGGAAATTGAAGTGGTGGGGTTTTTTTTTTCTGATTATAGGAAAAGGTGTACTCATTTTAAAACATTCAGAAAATGGAAGTATAAAAATAAGCACCCACCACCCAAAGATAACCACTAGTAACACTTTTTTCCAGATATTCCCTATGTATATACATTCAAAATAAACACATATATGTACATATAGTATGTATATGTGAGTATAATTGTAAATCTTCATTTTAAATTGGTTCTTGCATTGTGCATAACAACGTATCTTAACTAGCCTCCTATAGCAATGAATAGAAGCCTACAATTAATGATGTCCAAGTGCTCCTCTGGATCGATGCACCATAATTTAGTTAAGCAGTTCCTAATGGGGGGCATTTTGAATGTCCAAAATGAAGACCTAGCGACACCTAGTGGAATGTAGAGACGTTTCTACAGGCATGTGTTTTGCCAGTCCAACTGAACACTAACGTGATCAATGCCAAGGAGAGCAAATGTCTCTGAAGATGGAAAGACCTTAAATGAACCGAAACAGTGCCTGTCCCCCCCCCGCCCCCCACTTTGCAATTGAGGAAACCCAGGGTAAGTGGCAGAGCAGGGACTTACATTGAGACCCGGAGCGTTCCGGTGGGCCCCGGCCTACGCCTGACCTACCACCGTCTAATGATGGCAGCGGAGATCTCTGTGTGGGATGCAAAGCCTGCAGACCCACCTCCCCTCGCTCCAGGGCAGGCTGCAAGGCTGACGTGCGCCCAACTCTTTTTGCATTTCCCCCCCACCCCCAGCCGTCCTGGAGCGAGGACGAGCGAGGCCAAGGAGGCGGAAGGCGCTTCCCAAGTGGAAGCCGGCAGGCGCCTGGAGGAGCTGCGCCGCCGCCGCGGGGAGACCGAGAGCGAAGAGTTTGAGAAGCTCAAACAGAAGCAGCAGGAGGCAGCCCTGGAGCTGGAGGAGCTGAAGAAAAAGAGGGAGGAGCGAAGGAAGGTTCTGGAGGAGGAAGAGCAGAGGAGGAAGCAGGAGGAGGCGGAGCGAAAAGTCAGAGAGGAGGTAAGCTGGGCGCAGCGCCCGCCCCCAATCCATCTGGCACCCCAACTTAGCCAAGTCCCTGAATCCATCTCTCTGGTGACCCTTGTATCCCAGAGAATAACTTCTTCCCTGATGAAGTGCTGCTGCTCTTTGGAACATGGACTCTTACAGTTTAAGAATAATAAACTTACTATGTATGTGCTTAAACCTTTACACATATTAATTTATCCAAGTTTCCTAAGAACGGGTCGTCTTCTCTCCATTTTACAGATGAGGAAACGGAGGCACAGAGAGGTTTCATAATTTTCCCAAGGTCCCGCTTGTCTTAATCCGTTATCCTATCCTGTCCCTCAATAAAGAACAGTTGGTGAGCAGAGAAAGATGAAAAGTCTGCAGATGGGTTCCAAGAACCAAGAGTCATGTGATAGTGGTTTTCTGATCCTTGAAGAGGTTTTATAGGGAAGATTTTTTTTTTAATCGTTTTTGGGGGTTTTTTTTAGCGGAAGAGTAAGTAGACTAGATTTCCTTCCCAGGCAGAGAAAGTATCTGCTTTGTTCATTACTGGATACACAGGACAGAACACAGTGCAGGCATGAGCAGAAGCCCAATAATTATGAGCAGATGAATTTGTTCCGTCTCTTAAGATAGAACTAAAAACAACCAAAAAGTTCCCAAAAGTCTAATTTTAAAAACTGAACAGTACTTCACCAACTACAACTTAAATTGCTACCATTTCCAAGGTGCATTGTCACCTTGCGTCCCGAGGGACATTGTTACTCTCATTTCATGGACAAGGACATGGGAGTCCCATCATTTGAGTGACTTGTGTGAAGTGACGTGACTCGTCAGCGGTAGAATCAGTATTGGGACCCAGCTTCACCTCAGCCTGGAGCTCTTCCCACTAAATCTTAGGACACAGTGCTCTCCCATCATTCAAAATATGCAGAAAGACTTTAATAGCTTTCGGACATGAATCTTATACAAAAAGTCCCTGAACTGTGGAAAGTTTGGGGAAATAAGTCCAAGAACTCTTCCAACTCCAGCTCTCAATGAGCCAGCGACCTCTGGTTGGGAAGTCATGGGGATGATAGCGCTTTAGAATCAGGCACCTGGGCTTGTAGCCTACCTCTGCCACTTGCAAACTGGGACCTTGTGGAAGTTACCAGACTACTCTGAGACGTCTTTTCTCATCTGTGAAATAAAGATCTCCTTTCGGGATTGTTGTGATGATTAAATAGATCATTGTAGTCACGGGGCCAGGTCCCTACGAGCGCCTGGCACTCAGGAAGTGGTACTTATAACCATTGTTAGCATTGTTATTATTTAGAGGAGGAGAGGACAGTGAAGGCAGAATGAATTCTTAGAACTGGATTGAATTGGAGATTATTGGGTCTAACCTCCTACTGTCACAAAGACTGGGTGGCTGACGAGCAACAGAAATTATTTCTCACAGTTCTGGAGGCTGGGAAGTCCAAGATCAAGGCCCTGGCAGATACTGTGTCTGGTGAGAACCACTTCTTGGTTCATGGACGTCCGTCGCTGTGTCCTGACATGGTAGAAGGTGCAAGAGAGCTCTCTGGGGTTCTTTTATAAGGCACTAATGCCATTCATGAGGGCTCCAGTCTCATTATCTAATCACCTCCCAAAAGCCTCCACCTCTTAATCACACTGAGGGTTAGGATTTCAACCTATGAATTTTGGGGGGGGGGGGGACGGGGACACACATTCACTCCATATCACCCAATATCGTTCTGCAACATTCTCTGACAGATAGACATAAAAGTATCTTCTTGAGAACATCCAGTGATAAAGATTTCACAGTTTGAAAACTACAAGACTACATAAATCTCTCAGAAAATCGTTCGTAGAGGATGTGTAACTTGATCAGAGCTCTCGAACTTTTGCCTGAGAAACAAGACAAGGAAAGAGAATCTAGACCAGGAATGAAGGCTCAGCGGGGTTAATGAGATAGATTGTAAACATCTGTGGTTTCATCGCCATGGTGTAACATGTACATCATTTCAGGGTTGTCATAGCATCTACTCAATTGAAGGGACAACCATAAAGCCATCTCTTTTAGAGTTTGGCAACTATAGTACCATAGATTTATACATCTTTGCACATAAGTTATCTCATTTGTCTCCACAACTCTCTTAGGAAGTCTGTAGAAGACATATTTATATTGATTTCACATATTCAGCAATGCAAGGTCGGTGTTAAATGACTTGACAGGATGATAATGATAATAGCGGTCACCGTACTAAGCACTAGTCTAAGCAGTTTACATGGATTTGTCATTGAGTCCTCATTAAAGCCCTATTGCATGGGTTCTATCATTATCCCCAATTTACAGACCAAGAGACTGAGGCACAGAGCAGCTAAGCAACATGGTCAAGGTCACACGGTTGGGCAGTGGTAGCACCAGATAGTGAATCAGGCTATGGGACTTGCAAGCTCAGGCTTAACCTCTAGTGACTGCCCGTGATGACTCGATAGCATCCAATCTAGAACCTGGGTCTTTCCCCTCCAGCCCCCAGTCCCTTTGGATGGAACCTGATATTGATGCCCTTGTTATTTGCTGTTTCTCTCTTAAGGAAGAGAAGAGGAGACTAAAGGAAGAGATTGAAAGGCGAAGGGCAGAAGCCGCTGAGAAACGCCAGAAGATGCCAGAGGATAGCTCGTCAGATGACAAGAAGCCATTCAAATGCTTCACTCCTAAAGGTTCATCTCTCAAGGTATTTTTTCCCAGAAACCCTTCTTATAATACCTCTACCCTAATACAGAGAGTGCCAAATATATATATACATACATTTTAAGAAAGGAAAAAACTGTATTAAAATTGTAATACTCAATATATACCGATAACAAAAGAGAATACAAGTCATGTGTATACATTTTTTTGGCACCCCCCCGCTATAATTGAAACTTGACGTTAGTCCCTTATTTAGTTATTGATTATTAAATGCCTTTGCAGCTTTTATCTTTTTGCTCCTTTCAGACATTTCACAGCTTCTCTTTGTTTTCAACATGTGGAGAGGGTTAAAATAAAGTGGAGAAATTTTACCTGTTGTTTACTTGATGCTTTGGCATACAGTAAAAATGACAATCAGCGATTATCTCTGGGTCTCACGGACCCCCGGCTCACCAGGTGCCTCATTTGCTTTGAGCAATTGAAAATGGAAACATTTAAAGTTCAGCCGAGTCAAGGACATAGTGGAGTGGTTGACACAGGAAGAGAGCACAGACTCAAGACAGTACTATTATCTCTATTCAATCTGTCACGATTTTCAAATATATTTTTTGCTTGTTTACATGTATTGAGCCCCTGGCATAGTGAAGGTACCCAATAAGTATTTGTTGAATGGATATGTAAAGGAATGAATCTTCAGAGATTGGAACTTTTAACATGTTTATTTCACCTTCATTTTCCATCAACCCAGCTAGGTTACAAAGCATTGACAATGGGCAAAGCCAGCACAAGATCACAGCCAGGCTCCAGCTGGTCCAGTGTGTGTGTGTGTGTGTGTGTGTGTGTGTGTGTGTGTGTGTGTGTAAATGTGTGTGAGGTCTTATCATGCGGCGGACTAAAATGATGAAAAGCCAGTTATTTAACATTTTATAGGTGCTCCCTGTTTCACATGAAAATCGGCATGTTTTATCCCTACATAATTTCGCTTACTGTCTATGATCATCTGACTCCCAATCATAGTTCTGACACCTCCCAAATAAACTACTTATACTTGAATGTCTCATCTCAAGGTCTGTTTCAGGGTGGGGAGGATGGAGGGAGAATTCAAACTAAGCCACAGGGCGATTTTATTATTTGATATTTATCACATACCTCATGTGTGCTGTATACCATGACAGAGAGATGCACAAGGCAAGGTAGCTGCCCCTAGGGGACCAGTATGGTTGACTGTCTCAGGGGAATTCAAGAATTACAAAGGCAACCAAATGCTGACTACCCCAGAAGTGAAATCTCGGAGCCCAGCAGAATGTGGAGTAGGCGAGCTTCATTGGTGGACACCAAAATTTGGATTTCCTAAAATTTTCCTAGGTCACAGACTATTCTTCTTCTTTGGCATGTTTTCAACCATTTAACAATGTAAAACATCCTTAGCTTTAGGACTGGGTGAAAAATTTGGGCTGTATTCTGCCCATGGGCAAATGATCTATAGTTTGCAGACCCTTGCTATAGAAGAAAGAACAGAAAGGCGATCTCTATGCAGCCACTGGAGTCCATTCTGTTCCCGGTCTGGGTCCTTTTGTTCCTGGCTCATCAATATTCACAGAAAACCACTTTCTCTCTTTACACCTTCCTTGACAATCCTGCCCAACCCACGCTTTCTTTGAAGTCTTGGTAGCACAAGGAAAGTAGTAGTCATTTAAACTTCTAATTTCTACTCTTTTATTCAGAAGAAACTACAATCCATCCATCTCCTCCAAATATCTCCTCTCCACCAATTTTTTCACTTCTTTATCTAATTTTTCCATCCACCAGTCTCCTAGGAAGCCGTTTTTCTGCTCCCTCTGGTACAGAGGCATGTGCGAGCAGTCAGTTAAAGTACATAGATATATAAAAAAGAAGCAAAACATTTTTAACTTCTGTAGAACAGAGACATCCTTTCAAGAACAGTCTATTGCCTTTCTCCATAGCATGTGCCTTCCAGGACTTGCTGGTTTTAGAAATCCGTTTCATATTCTGCTATTGCGTTCCTATAACTGTTTATGCTTTTAGCCCTGCCACTTTTATAAT